TGGGTGGAGTTGCCAAATAGAACTATCGTTAAAATTGCACTTTTAGGTACATGCTAGGATTTTGGGTCCGCTATAAGCTTATTGGCCATACACGGTATGTACAATTTAATGTACAATTTAAAAGTAAAGAATGAAAAAGTACTAGTTTATTTTCTTCCCTCATTTCCCCCCTGAATATACATTTGTGTGTGTTGTGGCAGTGGAACCAATCCATGCTAGTTAACTGGAGTACAAAACCCCATGTGATTTGTAACTATCCTTCAAGGTCTATTCTGCATAAGACAATGGATTATAATGGTTGTTAATATGCTTTGGCAGAATAGTTAAGGTGGCTTGCTGTCCACAGCTCCAAGTGCTGAAATGGCTTCATGGGAAGAGTAGTAAACATTACCCCTCTCCTACCAATATCAGGGAGTTTAGAGATTGACGTATTGATGAGCTGGCCATAGGTATAATGATTGAAAACAAATATCCAGGTGCCCTTAGTTCATAAGATAATTATCTATTGTACACCACTGAAAAGTGTGGAAGTGTCTCCTCTCAAGAACATTTGCCAAGACAATTTAGTAAAGGAATTGTGCGACTGTGTGCAGCACAGATCGTTTTTAACACTCAGGAAAAAACTATTCATATCCTTTTCACTTTGGAGGTAAATATTGTTTTCAGAAAACTACATTATAGACTCTAATTTAAGTGGAACTTCTAATAGGGCCGGACGATGATATTCTCAACCAAATCATGGGAAAGAGTACTTTGAAAACAATGCATATACTGTGTGTGTTTAAAAAGAAAAGTATTTTTGTATCAACATTGTAAGATTATCCTACTTCTTTATGCATGAGGGATGCTTTTTTGTAATATGTTTTGTAATATATTTTAGGAGGAGGAGGAGGGATATTTTGATTTAATAAACCAATATATGCTAATTGTGCTCAGCAGTTAAAATAGATCTTCATGAGACTAGAAATATATGTGTTGCTTGGACAGTAGAGCATAATCAGAACTAAAAATTCAGTCTCTTTCCGTTTCCCTTCCAGGAGCCCATCATAAAAGATTTCACATCTGCATGCCCTCCCTTCCTCCCTCCCTCCCTCCCCCCTCTCTCTCATGTGGTATTATTGTGATGTCAATATTTGCAAACAAGAAATGGAAGAAGGGAAAGGAAGGAAGGAAGGAAGG